TTGCTATCAGGAAAATTATGTCTATCGCGATTAGGACAACATGTTATATATTTTGTTGCAGAGATAAGGACTGGTCAAATCCGGAATTACTGAACATTTAAGGATACTCATTATTAATATATAAATATTAAGTAGGTTCAAGTAGCCAATTATAAATTACCTAAATTAGTGAGATTTATAATTGTATATATACGTATATAATTTCAATAAAGTTTCCATTATTATTATTATTATTATTATTATTATTATTATTATTATTATTATTATTATTATTATTATTATTATTATTATTATTATTATTATTATTATATTTATTATTATTATATTTATTATTATTATATTTATTATTTATTATATTTATTATTATTATTATATTATTATTATATTTATTTCCAAACCTCGATAATTACCTCTGAATTCCGCACTCCTTTTATGACAGTTGGCCATGGCGTATTGCAAGGAGATTGCCTCAGTCCTCTTCTTTTTAACATGTGCTTCAATACATTCATTCAGCATATCAAGGCTGAAAAGTACCGTCAATTTGGGTTTTCCTTCAAATTACTAAATCCCATCCATTGGTTCCAGTTTGCTGATGACGCGACTGTAATTACTGGCCAAGAATCCGAAAACCAACATCTATTAAATCGATTTTCTATCTGGTGCCAATGGTCCGATATGATTATCCGAGTTGACAAATGCAGTACCTTTGGCATTAAAAAAGCGATCACAAAATCAGTTCAGTACTTGCCAAAACTAATCATCAGCAATCAACTAATACCAAAAATCACCATTGGAGAATCATTTCAATATTTAGGACGTTACTTTGATTTCCACATGTCGAATGATAATCACAAAACTGAACTAACCACCCTACTTAACGAACTAATGTCTGATATTGACTCAAAGCCACTACACCCCAAAAATAAACTGCTCCTCTACAGTCGGTACGTCTTGTCCAAGTTAGCCTGGCACTTCACCGTCGCAACACTCTCTAAAACATGGGTTACTGAAAATATCGACTCTATTGCCAACAAATATATCCGCAGATGGCATGAAGTACCAATATCAGGAACACTAAGTACTGTCTTTCTAACAAATAACAAATTTGGCCTGAGTATTTATCCTCCATTTGTAAAATTTATCCAGTGTCAAACAGTCCTCCGAAAAGCTTTAAAATCTTTTCCTAATGAATCAACTAACGACCTGTGGAGAACAACCAGTAACCATACTAATATCCAATATGACGCTTATAACTCTACTAAGGAAGTTCTCAAAGATTTCCGTTCTGGACACGAAAACAAACTCCTAAACCAATTAACCAGTCAAGGATCCTTTTTTTGCAGCGTCACGAAGTTCGCTTTACCTCAGCTTAGCAAGGTGTGGTCCGTCGCCCAATCAAAGCTCCCGAAAAACATTTACAACTTTACCATTTGTTACATTAACAACTCTCTTCCGACGCGCAAAAACCTAAACAGATGTGCAATATCTTCAAATTCAGACTGTTCTTTTTGTCTTAGCCCTGAAACATTACTACACATAGTAGCTGGATGTCAGTTTTATCTCGACCGATTTACGTGGAGACACAATTCAGTCCTGAACTTTCTTGCTCATCAGTTACAAACTGTTGACGGGTCTACTCTCTACGCTGATCTAAATGGATTCAAAAGCCCTTCAATACTTACTGGTGATACGTATCGCCCAGATTTGTTATTATCGTGCTCAAATGGTTCCTTATATGTGGTTGAACTCACCACTTGTTATGAGACAAACCTCAAAAACAACGTAAAACGGAAGAAGGATAAATATAGAGAATTATTGAGACAGCTAGGTAAAAATTTTAACCAAGTTAAATTTATAAATCTCTCCATCAGCTCTTTAGGTATTTTTGCAGAAGAATGTTATACATTTTTAGACACGTTAGAAAGCATTGGTCTTGACAAAAACCACCAAATGTACTGCGTTAGGAAAATGATGACTATTGCTATTAGAACTACATATTACATTTTTTGCTGCCGAAATAAGGAATGGGAAAATCCGGATTTACTAACAATTTGACTTATCTCATTGTATATATATATATATTGCATGCACTTTGTTCTGTTATTTTAGTTTAGTATAATTGTGATTCAAATAGCCAATCGTAAGTTACCTTTATGAGAGAGATTTACGATTGTATATGTATGTAAAGAAAAACATTTAATAAAGTTTCCATTATTAGAATAAAATAAAATAATTTTAAAAATATGAAAGTTTTTCAACTAAAGATTTGAAAAAATCATTAAAGAAATTAAAATTAGAAAACGGAGATATCTTGGAGATCAAGTTTGTCGCAAAGAAACTGCGCAACCTTCTTAATAAGTCTAATATTACGGACCCAAATAACACTGATAGTCATGCGTCTGCAAATATTGATCACGACAGTCTGATTGGTAAAAGTTTCTGGGGTTTCGTTAAACGATTTTTCAAAAAGAATACTAGCTCATTTCCATCATTTAACCTAGCAGAATGTACATCATATTTTACCAAAACATTGTCCGCGATTAGCCCAACTAAAACGTTCAACATCCCCAGTTGGATCCCAAAATTTCCATCTCCTCAGACGCCTTTTAATCTTGACCCCCCGACCTATCAAGAGATTACAAATGTCATCCGTAAAATGAAACCGTCTGGCTCACCATGTCCACTTGATCAAATATCTATCATCTATATTAAACGCTGTCCTTATTTACGCTCGTAATTAACTGAGATAATCCACGCAGCCTGGTCTTGCGGTGTTGTCCCGTCTGAATGGAAGAAAGCATGCACGATTCTAATTCATAAGAAAGGAGAAACAGCAAACCCAGCGGACTTTCGACCCATTACTCTCGAATCTGTCCCACTCAAAGTTTTCACATCATGTCTTCGCAACAGGACATTTCAGTTTCTTGCAGAAAAAAATTACAGAGAACAGAACATACAGAAAGGTTTCACTCCAAAACTCTCAGGAACACTAGAACAGTTGGCACATATCATTAATAAAGCGCGAGTAAAACAACGATCACTTATCGTAACACTATTAGATCTCAAAAATGCATTCGGCGAAGTCCACCATAACCTTATTTATGAAGTTCTTGAATATCACCACATTCCCAATCACATAGAGAATCTTGTCTGTAGCCTTTATACTGATTTCCAAACTTCCATAATAACTGAACAGTTCAATACTTCCTTCATTACAGTCGGTCGTGGCGTCCTTCAAGGCGATTGTCTCAGTCCTCTTTTATTCAACATGCCTTTCAATACCTTTATCCAACATATTGAATCGGAAAAATACCGTCAACTTGGATTTTGGAAATCCAGCGAAAACGGTACCCCATTAAATCCTCCTCATTGGTTCCAGTTTGCCGACGACGCGGCTGTTGTTAGCGGCCAAGAAAAAGAAAACCAAATGCTCCTCAATCGCTTTACAATCTGGTGTCAGTGGGCTCAAATGATAATACGTGTAGACAAATGTTCAACATTTGGCATTAGGAAACAAGTAACCAAATCCATTCAATATCTCCCAAAACTATTTATAAATAACTGTCTTGTACCACGTGTTGAACTTGGTAAATCGTTTCGCTACTTAGGTCGCTATTTTGGTTTCAACATGTCCGACGAAGATCACAAATCTGAAGTATATGACACACTTACTAGTATCCTGAATGAAATTGATGATCTAGCTACCATTACATCCGAAAAACAAAATTCTCTTATACCGCAGTCGTTATGTGCTTTCCAAAATCTCTTGGCACTTCACTGTTTCTGATATAGGCAAAACCTGGGTTAACGATAAACTAGATAGTATCGCGTCCACGTATATCCGAAAATGGCTTAAACTTCCTATTTCTGCAACCCTTAGTAACGTCCTACTTCCCCACAATAAATTTGGATTAAATATCATTCTACCTTCAACCAAATTCCTTCAATGCCTAACTGTTTCTCGGAAAGGCCTAAAGTCGTCGCCAAATGAAGCGATCAATAACCTTTGGAAGGATACTAGCAATCACAAAAATGTACAATATGACAATTACAAAAACACCATCAGGAAACAACATGAAGACAAGCTTCAACACCACCTCATTTCACAAGGCTCATTTTTCTTCAATATCATTAAACATTCTACACTCTCATTCAACTCTATTTAGCCTGCGTGCAGCCTGACTTTAAATGGAGAGAAGTCAGTCTGCGAATCAGGGAACAATACCGTGTTCGCGCCATCTTTTGAATTGCATGGATTTTTGTATTCAAACGTCATTGGCTATTGCTCAAAAGCCTAACACACACGCTACGATTGGCCAATTCGTTAATATATATTTGGTTCAAACAACATTCCAGAATGAAAAAAATGGCGGACAAAAACACAAAGAGCAATGTTGTGTGGAATTTATGCACAAACCCATACAAAAGATATGAAAGGGTTCTCATTGAGGTTCCCAAGATGCCATTTTGCTAAATATATTATTTTGTTGAACTGAATCTATTAACGAATGGCCAATCGTAGGACGTGTATTAGGCTTCTGAGCAATAGCCAATCACGTTTGAATACAGAAACCATGCAATTCAAAAGATGGCGCGAACACGGTATTGTTCCCTGATTCGCAGACTGAATTCTCCCCATTTAAAGTCAGGCTGCACGCAGGCTAACTCTATGTGGTCCTCCGTTCAGAGTAAACTTCCGAAGAATATATTTAACTTCACTATCCGGTATATAAATAACACTCTTCCGACTCGCAAAAACCTTCTGAAATGGGGAATATCACCAACATTCGAATGTTCGTTTTGTTTGAATCCAGAATCACTTCTTCACGTCGTCGCTGGATGCAAGACCTACCTAATTGAAGGACGTTTCACGTGGCGTCATGATTCGATGCTTAACTTCATAGCGTCCATACTTAAATCTGTGAACCATTGTAACCTTTATGCTGACCTTCCTGGCTATATCAGTCCATCTGTTCTCACCGGAGATGAATTGCTCCCTGATCTTTTGATAACACTTGAAAACAAATGTATTTATATACTAGAACTTACCGTCGGATTTGAATCTAATCTCCTCACTAATGCAACTCGAAAAAGACAAAAATATCAAGACCTAATTAACGAACAGCTCAAAAATTATGAAAAAGTAAAATTTGTAAATTTATCGATTAGCTCATTAGGAGTTTTCAGCAACCCGTCGCTAGATTTCACCGAAATGCTGAAGGATCTAAAGTTTGATGAACAATGTAGAAAGTACTTACTGTCTATGTTCGGAAAATTATTAACATATGTATCAGGTCCTGGTATTATATATTCTGTAAGCGTAACAAAGAATGGGATAACCCACAACTAATGTCATACTAATATTGTTATTATGTAGAGTGTTAATTCAAGTAGACACTGGTAAACTACCTGTAGATAGAGGTTTATCATTGTAAGGTATATATATATATATATATATATATATATATATATATATATATATATATATATATATATATATATATATATATATATATATATATATATATATAACTACAGACGGTACCGTTTCGGCCTTATGGGCCTCATCAGTGTAATGCTGATGAGCATGATCAAGTTGAAAAAATACAAAAAAGGGCATTAAAAATTATTTTCCCTGGAACTATCTATGCTGAATGTTTGCTTAAAGCTAACTTGATGACTCTTTACGAACGTAGAACTGTCCATTGCAAGCGACGTTTTTCGAAGATGTTGGAACCCACTCATAAACTGAATGCCTTAGTACCGCCTAAAAGTCTTCAAACTTATAATCTGAGGTCTTATCCCAACTTATTAGTACCTAGGTGTAGAACTGAACGTTTTTCGAACAGTTTCATTCCTGCTGCGTCTCGTGCTTATAATAATAAGTAAACTTTAGATTATTATCGTTATTTTATCTAACTTACCTATTTTTACCTGTAAATATAGAATAGATTAAATACCTATGTTCTTATACCCTGTAATTCCAAAGTAATTCAGTTGTTACTGCTAGTTTGGAAATTTATAATAATAATAATAATAATAATAATAATATATATATATATATATATATATATATATATATATATATATATATATATATATATATATATATATATATATATATATATATATATATATACCATAATTTGTATCATTAAACGTGATACAGGGCATAAAATTGCATCGTAATGGGAACACCTAATCCCACATTAGAACGTCACGGACATTACTTGGGATGGTGTGGTAGATCAAAATTGGATTATGAACCACAAAGAGGGAACAAAATAGCAGTAAACATGTTCCATTTACGTAATAGTCCGTGTGTTGTGACCCGATATCGTTCACTTTCATTAAGCATGTCTTAGAACTGAAATATTTTTACGGGAACTAACACTTTCGAACACGCTGAGTTCAAATCCGAAAAGTTCCCACTCCGTAGACCCGCAGTTTTTTCACAAAATGCTATTTTATCTTCACTAATTTCACAACAAATTTTTTCATTGTTCAACGATACGGATCGATGACGATACACGATTATGTCACTCAAAATGACCAATTTCTATTAACCATTCTTCCTTGTAACAAAAGATCGGTTTTGCTCGAATCATTTTGAGTTATGTAATCTTATGCGTGTTGGACGTAAACA